ATCATCATCAGCATAAGCATCATCATTATCACCACCACCACCACCACCACCACCACCATCATCATCATCATCATCATCATCATCATCATCATCATCATCATCATCATCTTCATTCCTCTCCAACTCCTCCTCCTCCTCATCCTCATCGTCATCATCTTCTTCATCCTCATCATCATCATGATCCTAATCAGCATCATCATCATCATTACCATCCTCATCAGCATCATCATCGTCATCATCGGCATCGTCTCTATCATCATCGTCATAATCATCATCACCAGCATTACCAGCATCACCATCATCATCATCATCATCAGCAGCATCGTCATCATCATCATCATCATCATCATCATCATCATCATCATCATCATCATCCTCATGATCGCCATTAACATCATCAGCATCATCGTCGTCGTCATCATCGTTAGCATCGTCATTAGCATCATCACCAGCATCACCAGCATCATCATCAGCAGCAGCATCATCATGATCATCAGACTCATCATCAGCACTCCTCTCCTCCTCCTCCTTTTCCTTCTCCCCATCATCATCATTATCAGCATCATCATCATCATCACCATCAGAATCCACATCAACATCAGTATCATCATCATCCCACTCCACCTCCTCCGCCTCCGCCTCCGCCTCCTCCTCTTCCTCCTCATCATCATCATCCTCATCAACATCATCATCATCATCATCCTCATCAGCATCATCATCATCATCATCATCATCATCTCCATCATATTCTTCATCATCATCATCATCATCATCATCATCATCATCATCATCATCATCATCATCATCATCATCATCATCATCATCATCATCATCTCCCTCCTCCTCCTCATCATCATCCTCTTCCTCCTCCTCCTTCTTCTACCCCTCCTCCTCCTTCTAGCCTGCCCCCGCGTGAATACACAGAATTGAACCGTGGGTACACGCAGCCGGGGCAACGAGGGAGAGTCTGGGGACCAATTCCCGCCTGCAAGGAAAACACCTCCTCTTCCACCCTCCACATCCTCCTCCTCCTCCTTCTCCTCCTCCGCCTCCTGCTATTCCTTCTCCTCCTCCTCCTCCTCCTCCTCCTCCTCCTCCTGTTCTCCTTGCTCGTCCTCCTCCTCCTCCTCCTCGTCCTCCTCCTCCACCTCCACAATTACACAACATGAATACTACTCTCCCCTCTCCACTGATGACGTCTGGAAGATATCGGGCCCCCCTCCGCGTACTGATTTTTCACACGCGGTATTCCTGGGAAATGGGCTTTCGCTTGGGCGTTTTTCAAAACCTTGCTCCGGCTGTATCGCTGGCCCCATTTCTGCGCCTCTGGTTGTTCCAAATCGTGCTCCCGATGTAGCGACAGCATTTTCGGTCCTTCCAAAAAGCCCCAAAATCTAAAAAATGCCCCCCCACCCCCCCACCCCAAGAAACCATCGGAAGTGATTACACATTCGGTGTCGATTCGTTGATTTCTGGGGCCGCAGAAGCCCCCCCTCCCCCTTTGGGGCGTCGTCGTTTCAGGAAGTATCAAGCGGGCGCACCGTTTCTGCTTTGAGAAGGCGATGCTGAAAGCAGAGCCAGCGGGTGCTCTCCATCAGACCCGCTTTGTGTGGAGATTTTCGGGAAGCCCAAAGAGCTAGACATGGAGCCACGACTCCAGACTGGCCCAGGCCTGGAAGCGCCTGGAAGCGCCTGGAAGCGCCTGGGAGCGCCTGGGAGCGCCTGGGAGCGCCTGGGAGCGCCAGGCCTCTCGAAGAAAATCCACTTACCCTCCAAGTAACCCGGCGCCATGCCATGACATGCTGTGCGGTGTTGCCATGCTTTGCGTTGCAATGCTTTGTGATACAATGCTTCACTGCGCAATGCCACGCCATGCTGTGGCATGATACGCTCTGCCGTGCTCTTCTACGCCGTGCCATGCCGTGCTCTACCATGCATCGCGTACCATTTCGCGATACATCCGATTACGAAAAGAGAGGATAACTACGCCATGGTAAGCCATGGTAAGGGATGGGAGGGAATGGTAGGGCGTCAGAAATGACGCGAGAGGTCCTAGCTTGTCCTCCTCTTCCTTCTCCTCCTCCTCCTCCTCCTCCTCCTCCTCCTCCTCCTCCTCCTCCCTCCCTCCCTCCCTCCCTCCCTCCCTCCCTCCCTCCCTCCCTCCCTCCCTTCCTTCCTCCCCCCCTCTCTTTCCTCCTGGCTTTCGTACACGTCTACAGCTCGATCACCTGAGCCACCTCCATCCTCCCTTCCCCCTCACGCATCGCACCCCCACCCCGCCCCGCCCCCGGGAGGAGCAGGAGGAGCAGTCGCTCTGTCTGGTCAGGGCCCATTCTCCCCCACGAGGGTGAAGCAACGACTGTCCAGCACGATGCGGGTCCTCTGCGGCTGCCCAGGGTCCCTCCCCACTCGGAGCCAGGAGGATACGCCCCGTTCAAATACGTCGGCAGGTCAGCAAGACTGAAGCAGCGACAAGAGGGATCCCGCAGCCGCCCAACTCGGTGTAGGACAAATGGGCCAGCGATAAAGCAAACATCCCCGAGGGCTAAAGAAAGCACGAAGCCAGTGAGACAGCCAAGCCACTCTCTCTCTCTCTCTCTCTCTCTCTCTCTCCCTCTCCTGGGCACAAGCCCACACGCCCGACAGGCAAGAGTCTTTCCACCTTTGCTGGACTGCGGCCAAATGCAGAAGAACAGGGAAAGTAAGAGTCTGGTTGATTCGCTTTGTGTTTGCGCCTGCACTGGACCAAGAGCGAAGACCCTGAATAGCGACCTCCCAATAATGTCCTCCTCCCCCTTCGCCCCTCCCCCCAAGCGGCAGCGGCGTATCTTCCACCCAGGGCTGACACTCCTTGTTGAACGGGTCGAGCCTGGACTCGACATACCTTGCCCCATTGGCGGCGTCCATGCTGACAGCTCCTGATTATCCTTGTCCTCGCTCACTCCCCAAGGCCCCTCGATCCGCATCACCACTCGGCGTCGTCTTTCTCGTCAGCTGCGGTGCATTGCCTTGCACTAGTCCTGCATCACCTTGTCTCACTCTCGTGGCTCCGTCCTCCTCCTCCTCCTCCTCCTCCTCCTCCTCATCATCATCATCATCATCACACCACCACCAACCACCACCACCACCACCACCACCACCACCATCATCATCATCATCATCATCATCATCATCATCATCATCATCATCATCATCATCATCATCATCATCATCATCATTATCATCATTATCATCATCCCGATCCTCCTTCGCAACCCTGGAAGGACGAAGGAGAAGGAAGCAGGGAGGAGGAGGAGGAAGCAGGGAGGAGGAGGAGGAGGAGGAGGAGGAGGAGGACGAGAAGGAGGAGATCAGGCAGGGAGGAGGAGAGTGAAGGGAGGAGGAGGAGGAGGAGGAGGAGGAGGAGAAGGAAGAGAGAGGCAGTGCGTGTGTCCCAGACAAGACCGCACCGCACGAGCGCGCGGCGAAAACGTGGCGATCCGAACAGCAAGCCATTGGCGACACCAGAACGGGCGCCCTCACGCAGCAATGCAGCCACGTCGCTGGCCCCGATTGGCGGCCGACGCAACACTACAGAAACGCCGCCCTCCGCCCCCCTGCAAGGAGGCGCCGCCCTCTCCAGGCTCGCTCGGGAACCACCGACCCCCATCCCAGTCGCCCCCGCCGGCCTTGCTCCCCTCCCAGCCGCCTGCTCTTCGCAGCAGGCGTGTGTCCACCACCACCGTGCCTGGGCAGTGCCATCCTGGGCCTCGGCATAGTGTATAACGCCCTCCTGGCCTCGGCCAGGCGGTCTAGCCGCCACCGTGCTGGAGCGCGGCTGGCCCAAGACAAGCCAGTGGCGGTCTGATCCAACTGCCAGGGCATGTCCCTCGACGGGGCCTTCGCTGCTTTCACGCAGGCGGGCCAGCACTCCGGGCCGCCAGCGTGTTGGCCCCGTGCTCCAGGTCTCCGCCCTCTAGGCGGAAGTGCACGAACTCCGCCAGAGGCCAGGGCATGCTCGCGCACGATCTCCCCGTCGAGCGTCCAGCACGGGCGCTGCGCTTCGCGCTCGCGGAAGCTCTGTATCAGCACGGGCGCCTCGGTCACACGTGCCAGCGCCAAACCCGTGGAGCCGCCACCTTCCCCAACGTCGCCCTCCGCGCCTCCGTTGGGAGTCGCACCGCGGACGCGTCGAGGGAACGCCTCGGAACACACGTGGCCGTGCTGACGGCCAGCAGCGCACGGCAGCCGTCAGCCAGCCCGGAGATCGCAGCTTGCTCGGGTCGTCGCCGCCGCTCGACCGCCAGGCTCTGGCATCGCCTACGTTTGGCTGGCGCCCGCCGATGCAGAAGTAACCGCTGCACCCACGCGCCGCAGAGACCGCAGCTGCGCCCGCGCGGCTGCCCACGGCATGCAGTACTGACCGTATGCACCCACGATAAGAAATTGCGCTCCTCCTCCTCCTCCTCCTCCTCCAACTCCTCCTCC